GTGAAATGAAGTACGTGATCGAATTTTATCCGGAAAACGCTGAGCGTAGATATTAACAGCATCATCAAGATTCCTGCCTGCTTCTCCATAAATCAAAATCATTTCTATTTTTTCTTCCACTGTTAAAAAATCCATTAAGTATGTATAACTGCTTAACGAAAGGAGGTCTTTTTGTTTGCAAATTAATCTTCGAACTAAATTTATTAAATAATGCTAAACTATAAATAGTTTCTTTATACCTCAATAATAATTATTATTTATAATTAAATACCATTTTTTTATACCTCAATTAGGATTAAATTAATTAATTGACAAAATAATGTTTTTTTTACCTTAAATGAGGTATTTTTATTAAAAATAGTATATTAATCCTTTAAATTAAAGGATTTAATGCTTGCAGGTAAAAAGTGACCATGGTGCGCAATTGATAATTTTTACAGAATGAAAAAATGTATAAAACTTAAACCAAAGGAAACTTAAATATTAGTTAAAAAATCGTGGGTACTTAAAATTAGATTTAATTTAATAAGATAATTATTACCAAAAAAAGTGATATTTTTATGGAAAAATTATTGTAAAATCGTATACAGAAGAAAAATTGAACAAAATTGATTTTTTTTCATTACAGCCCCATCTATTACAAATATGAAAACATGTTTTAGACAAAATCTACCTATTTTTAGTCGAATGATCCGAATCTGCAATAAAAAATAGGGTGTTAAATTGGAAAAGTTACCCCCTGTTCCCCCTATAAGGAGAAGAGTATTAAGTAGGACCAATTTTAGTACTGATTGATTTCCCTCCTCGAACCATTTAATTTTTATTTTAAAAGTTAAATGACTCACCCTGTATATTTCGACCTGTATAGAACACCGAATTAATATTTTTAATAAAAACAGTATATTTGCATTTTACGGCAAAACGGTTAAAGCTACAAGTAAAAAGCAAAAAAATAATAATAAATTTTACTGTCAAATATTGCCAAATTTAATAAATTTATTTATTGGTCCTGATTACTTAATAAATATTTGACCTAGGAGTAAGATTAGGGCCTGAAACTTTTTTTCTCGACATATGATTATTTTTGGTGTTAGCGGAAGCCAATTAATGTTAAAGTCATTTAAAATGACAACCACAGAAAATTGTTGGTTTCACGAAAAAATTCCGCACAAATTTATTTATATCAACTATTCATGGTCATAATTTGACCGTCAACTTAGCATATCTCGACGAAAACAATACAAAAATGCGATAAGTTTAAAAACCGAATTACGAATAATCTGATTGTGGAAAAGTACAAAAGGGTTTAAAAATAACAACACTGCGAATGTATTTATAGTAAAAATACTTATTAGATAAAAGTTTTTAGATGATTTGTTTTATATTAAATAGGGAAAATATTACACCATATCCGTTAAAGTGTTATATTACATTGTCTACATATGTATAATTAAAATTAAAATTAGAAGTTATAGTCAACTCATAACATTAAGTTTAAATGTTTATAGTACAATGTAATAGATGAGAATACTTTTATAGCTTTATTACTACATGTTCAGACTATTGATTGAAATGAATTTCAGCACAAGTACCTATAAATAATAACATACACAGGAAAATTATTTGTGGGTATTTTAATCCATTTAAATTTAACTTTACCTTGTATTTATTTGTGACATTTATCACAACAATAACACCTTATTTTTGTTAATTTTCTTGCTAAAACATTCTACTAAATAATAACATATTTTACTAATAAATTTAATTGTACACAAATAAAACTTTTCATAAAACATCTGTTTCCAATGAAGAACGATTTATATTTATAAAAGCTATAAAAACGTTTTATCTACTTAAAATATTTTTATACGAGGTGTCTCGAAAATGCCGCACTAACGTATAATAAATGTTTATTATTTTAATGTATAAGCAATCTAAAACACCCTGTACTTCATTAAAATTAATTTCAGTTTAAAATACAAAATTTGTAACCAGTAAACATCCCAGTTGAATCATTGACGACCGTTCTAAAAATACCACTGTAAGCTTGGAACAATTAATTTTTGTACTTTTTAAAATCCTTGTCGCTTTTTAAACCCAGACAGCTGAAATGTCAGTTTATTATTGTTGTTCCTTTTCAGGATTCGCCTTGGCCTGAAAAATGATATTTTAAGATATTTCTTTTTATTATGGTTTCGCGTGAACTTTTAAGGAAATTTCTTCCAGATAATCTTGTTTGTTGTGTACACCTTCGTGACCAAATGCAGTAAGTAGTCTAATATTAGACTATGACTTCATTCAGTTTCAGAAATGACTGAAATAAATTAAATACATTTTAGTAGTAGCCCTTATAACTAGCAATTGTTTGTATTATTATTAGAAATTTTAAATTTTGACTTCAAGCTCATATATCTCCTAAAATGTTAATTTTATGGATTCGACTTATAACCGTATAACCTTTTTTGTAGAAAATTAAATTTTGTACAAAATATGTTTTTAACTTTTTTTCCTACAGTTAACCGTTTACAAGTTAACAGCAAAAAGCTAAGCCAAGCACATACAGACTTTTAGGACATTGTATGTAGTCCTTCAAATAAATATCATGAGCTCAAATTTTATTTTGTTAAAATGTAGAACAAGATTGTTAATGTGAAATAAAAAAATTGTAATTATTTTAATAGTGCCAATTAATAACAGTGAACTTCTAATAGAAGCATTAAACCCACGATTTATACTAAATTAAAAAAGTTACCTTGAAAAAAAAATTTGCATTAAAATTAGCATTTAAATGTGCCAGTTTTGTTTTCAGTATACACACAATACATATATGAATAGTATAGTTCTAATAAAAAATAAAAACTTCCTTTAAAATAATATACAGGCAATATTTTGTAAAATTGCCAAAACAACATGTTCAATAACTAAAAAAAAATAATCTTGAACTATAGGCAGTTGTCCAATTTTATCTAAATCATATTCATGTTATACATAATTGTTTACGTCACACAGGATTAATATGCTTAGTTTGTTAGACGAGCTAGAAAATAATCTAGACAATCCTGTTAAAGTAAATGTAAATCTGTTCATTGTAATTTTTCTAAAAAATTGTCTGTCAAATCGTTTTTGTAGGGTTATGTGACGTTTCATTGGGTGCGTTGATTTGAGTTAATCTGGTGGCCGCATGAAACAAAATCCCATTTTCCGCAAGAGTTGACCGTGTTAACAGCAAAATTTATCGTGTCTGATGCCTTAAAAATTACAGTGTCACACAAAAGTATTCAAGTAGGCCGTCTTTAACTGCAAAGCAGCGAGTTTGAAACATTTTTTTTAATTGCTGCTATCTTGTAAACGGTTGACTTTAGAGAAAAAAGTAAAATACATTTTTTGTAGGAAAATAATTTTTCTACAAAAAAGTCAAATCCTAAAATTAATATTTTAAGACATATATGAACTAAAGTCATCAAAAGTTAAAATGTTTTATAATTAGACTAATAATGGGTACAAAAAAACATTTCATAGTTTTAAGAGAAAAAACTGCATCAAATCGTATTTACAATGAGCAAGAAATGTGTCATTAATTGTTGAAACCAATATTATTAACACATCGGAATATTTTCAAACACGTGTTATTTTATGAGTAAAATTTGCGTGTGCACAATATAAAAATATTTCGCTATTATTTATTAATATGCCAGTCGCATAATGCGACCACTTCCTTTTATTTCTATTATATTAATTCGATATCTTTGTGTTTTAAACTTTACTACTGTAGGTACTTGTTTACTATGATAAAAGCCGATAATTTTTGCATGGTAACAAGTTATTAACAACCAAAATAGTCAGGATTAACAGTTTCAAAGTAAATACGCATAAATAATTGCGATTTTAAATTTTTAGAGCGGTCGTAAATTTTGTTGAGTATTTGTTTTTTTATTTTAATTTTAAATTATCAATTTTGCATGAGTAATGCATGGTTGTGTATATTTGCATATTTATACGCAAATAATCCATACTGAACTTTATTTTTTCTTTGTTTCTTATTGTGATCAAATACAGTTTTGGGTTTTATAGTAATTAATTTAATTACTATATTAATAATATTGCATTTCTATGTTTTATCCTTTTCTGTTATATTTTGCGGCAAAACATAAAATAATAATGATAATTTGCTTATAAGCTGTTATAACAGGTGCATTTTACAACTATAATTTAAAACAACATTTACCAATAAATTGAATTAAACTTTCTTAGAAAATGGATTGTATAAGTTAATGTCAAAGTCATTTTATTTATCTTTGAAAAAAATCCGATTTATCTATCAATAATAATATTATGTTATAGTTCACTTAATTGTTTATAAAGAAAACACTTTTAAAATAAATTGATTATATTTTGTATAATTGCAGTTTACCCTTTTATAAACAAAAATAATTAAAATTACAAAATTACCTAAATCTGTGCATATATCTGCGCAAAACATTTATTTAATCCATATTTATTGTTAAATAAACATCAAAAATTTATCGCATATAATTCAAGGTGTTTTACTGTAAACAATCACATATCTCGCGTTTTCCTTAACCTTTTGCAAGAAAATTTATTTTAATACGCAAATAACCTTAATTAAATATCGAATGTTGAATGCAAAATATTGTACAGAGCTGAAAAAAATAGAAATTATAAATGACATTGCATAAAAAATTAAACCCAATCAACTTTCTATTAACATAAAATTCGCCAACATTGTGAAATACGCCCATGTCATTTCACAATGAGGACAAGCTTAATTTTAGCGGTATGGGTATTTTTTAATTTAAAAAAATGGCTTCGCCACTGCATTTTTTTTCAAAAGGTAATAATATAGTACCCATGAGTTATAAAATAATAATAAAATATAAAAACGCTCGGGCAAATTTAACCCACATTTTTTATCGATTGGTGCTAGATCCAAGGTCAGAATGTTTTAACTGGAATTTCTCATAAAGTTTTATTTGTTTCAGTTGTTTTTTGCGACTATGCCGCTTCCGGTAGATCGCTTCAGTTCATAGAAGAGTATATTTTAAGAGAAGTACTGCCAACCTATGGGAATACACATTACACAACTAGTATTTCGTCGCTGCAAAGTACACTGTTTAGGTTAGTTTAATCTAATTTTCTTTAATTCTTTGAATTTTTATTGTATTAAAAAACTATTAGTATGTTTTGATAAACATAATTGATTAAAGTAAAAATAACAATAAGGTAAGGTGTCATAAGAGTGCGCAATTTTTAGTGCGCACTCTTAAACGCCCGACCTTATATTCACAAAAAATAAATTCCAGACAAGAAGCAAGAGATATAGTAAGGAACGCTGTTAACGCGTCGGAAGAGGACGCGGTGATTTTTTCCGGGCACGGTTGCAGAGACGCCCTGGAAAAATTAATAAACGCTCTGGATTTAAGGGAACCTCCTGTAGTTTTTATCGGGGCCAGCGAACATCTAGACAATCTACAACTATGGCAAAAGACTGATGCTCAGGTAAGGAGTTTGACTTTAGGTTCATATATCTTTTAAAATATTATGTTATTTACTTTTTTATCTAAAGTCAACCGTTTACAAGTTAACAGCAAAATACTAAACCAAGCACCAATAATTCTTTTACGATGTTGTACCAGTTTTTAAAATTAATATAAGGTTTAAAATTGGACTGATTATAAAAAAATATTTAGTAATGATTCTTTTTATGTTTTTATTTTCGTTACGTAATATATACGTACGTCTTATCTGCCGTAAGAGACATATAGTCTGATATGGTTTATCTCAAAAAGTAAACACAACATATTTGCCAAAAGGTGTCCTTCGTTTTTAACAGCTATTTTGATTTTACCCTAAAATTAACATAAAACTATTTTTTTTTTGTTCGGTGTAATCAATCTTAAATAATTTGTTTTCACAAATAGTAATTAAGGTACCCAAAAACAAATTAGTAGTATAGGTTCATTGTATCTTTAAACCATAAATAATTAATGCTTCACGCGTATCTAGGTCATAACATTGAAAAACAAATCTGTCCCTTTCAAGGTATATATACCTACTTATATATAAGTTGGCATTTTTCACTTGGGTATCATCTACTCTCTAAAAATGAATTAGTCAAAAATGACTAATTTAATAGTTGTTAGTGGCTGCTTTTTCACTTGTACCATTGGTTAACCATAGAATACCAAGGTATCCCAAAATTTAACAGCCAATTCTTATATAAAATTGTCTCCTGAATCCGAAAATACCGTAAAAAATGTGTAGCAGTTTTGAGATATAGTCAATTCCATATTAAATGGAAAATTGACTATATCTCAAAAACTGTTCTACTTTTTTAATTTTTGACGACATTTTCGGATTCAGGGGACAATTTTACATAAGAATTGGCTGTTAAATTTTGGGATACCACGGTATCCCATGGTTAATCATGTTACAAGTAAAGAAGCAGCCACTAATAACTCGTCACCTGAGAATTATAGTGTTCTATCTACATTTTCTTTTTTTTATTCAGGTTAGTCTTGTTTTAAGTCTTAAAGATGATATTGATCTATCTATATATAATTGGGGTAGAAATTGTTAAGTTTAAGGCTTAAACTGTACAATTTATACCCCAATTATATATAGATAGAACAATATGCATCTTTAATACTTAAAACAAGACTAACCTGAATAAAAAAAAGAAAATGCAGATAGAACACTATAATTCTCAGGTGACGAACTATTAAATTAGTCATTTTTGACTAATTCATTTTTAGAGAGTATATTTATGATGATGAGTTATGATTTTTTTCTTAGGTCATTAAAATGTCATTTAGGCAGTGTTAAAAAGTATTAAAAAATATTAAATATTTTAAAATATTTTTTTTAATATTACATTTTTATTTTATTTTCAAAAAAACAACCTGTATTTTTTGCTTTTTTAGATTCTACATACTTTTTATAGTATACTTTGTATATAAATGTTCAAGTCTTTTTTTCGCTAAAACTTAATAATAAATATTTTTTATCTAATATATTTAATAAATATATAATATAATAAATATTATTTATGTATTTTTCAGGATTTTGTATGCCCTAATTGAGATTTTACAAGTTAAAAATGTTTCATTGTTTTAATGGAAATTTTATTTCGGTATAATCTAAAAATCAACAAATTTATTAAATTAAATACAATTTTAAAAATTACTATTTTTATTATTTATAAAATTATAATGCACAAAAATGTGTGGTATCATCAAAACTGGACTATCTGCTGCATAATTAATTTTGATTTGTTTTTTATCGTACTACGCATTTAGTTTCTGCATTTTAGCGCTTTAAAAATTGTCAAAACATAAAACATTCCGATTATATATTACTACAAAATACTAACAAAATACTAAATATGTACACGACTTAAACGAATGTTACTTATTTTTATTGTTTTAGAATAGCGAAGCGAATAAATGTTTTGTAATTTGTACAACCAATAAAAATGCAATAAAAGTTATTTAAGGCTTTTATTATTATTATTATTGGGTTAACTCTGGTGTTTGCTACGCAAAACAACGTTTAAACTGCCAAGTGTATTTTGATTCAATACTTAATTTGATAAAAAAATTACATAATTTGATAACAAAAATTACATAATGGGGTAGTTTAATTTTTTCTGACCTTTACTTTTTATGGTTTTATTCAAGGCGTTTTGTAATTTTAAACATTTCCGTAAAATCGGAATTTCAATTGAGTTTACCGTTTTCGAGATATTAACAAAAAAAAATCTCCTAATTACGTCACTACGCTATTGACAACGTTGCCAGCTTTTTCTATGGTTGCCAGTGTGTTTAGTTTAAGATTCTTACGATAGATGGCGCCACGTTATAATATTTTAGTTTCAAAACCACTTGATCTATAATTTTAGTTGAGAAGAAGAAGAAGAATTGATTTTTTGACGTTTCTTTTTTTCGGGTGATGTTTTTTTTTAAATTTAGATTATTGAAAATCAATGTTATTGTTATGTTATTTGTAATTGATATTAGATAAGTGATTTATTAATAACGGACTCCAAAGCAGAGGAATCTTGTGGAATGGTTGGTTACATTGAACATTGGAGCTTTTAAACAAATAAAGTAGGTATACCTATAATTATAATCATATTTTGTCGTAAATGCATTTCATTAGTATAATGCCTAGTTCTTTATATTCTTTTAGATATATCTTGGACTCTAAAATATCAAACAGTAATATGATATAGGTATACCTCGTAATAAGGAAGATAGGTACTTAATGAATTTGGTGACCATCTTTCACTCAACTGACAGTGACAGTATTTGTACATAACTTCTTCGGGTATTTTCTGACATAACCGAATGAAATCATTAACAAGACAACTTGACAACAGGGTAATTTTCAACCAATAGAAATCTTAGAATGTTGGTCACATGGCGAGGTTTGTGACGTCATAAAAATTTATATTTTTTGTAAATATCTCGAAAATGGTAAACTCAATTGAAATTCTGATTTCACAGAAATGTTTAATATTACAAAACGCCTTGAATAAAACTATAAAAAGTATAGGTCAGAAAAAATTTAACTACCCCATTATAATGTGTATTATGTAGAGAATTAACCTAACAAAAACATGTTTTAGATGGTGCGAATTTCCGAGACCAAAGACGGCATTCTAGACCTGGCAGACTTGGAAAACCAGCTAAGGTTCTATCAAAATTCCGGAAAGCAATTAATCGGTTGTTTTTCGATAGCCAGCAGCGTTACGGGCATAATTATCGACGACATAGCCTGCACGATTTTGCTGCACCAATATGGCGCCCTGGCTTTTTGGGATTTCAACATGGGCGCGCCCAACATCAACATCGACATGAACCCCATTGTGCCGGGCGTGGAAGAGAATTCGGCCAATAAAGATGCGATTTACTTTTCCGGGCACAAGTTCATAGGAGGCGTGCAGACGCCCGGTATATTAATATCCAAAAAGTCCGTGTTCAGGCGGTTGAGTCTGTGCGATCCCGACGGGTTTTTCGCCAGCCAAGAGCACAATAGAGTAATTTACAAAGAAAAATATGTATTTTTTTTCTAATTTTTTTAATTTTAGACCTTTGAGCTACGTGAAGAAGGCACTTGTGCAGCCATAGTGGAGTCCATAAGAGCTGGTTTGGTGATGCAGTTAAAGGAAACTGTTTCAGTTTCAAATATTATTCAAAGGCAGGAAAAGATAAACAAGTAGGTGTTTTTTTAACACTTAGGCAAACTTACTTCCCTATTGAAAATGCCATATAGAACCCATATTGAGTCCGATAAGGAAACGTATCTGGTTCTATATGGTTTTATAGGTCCTATATGGAAAGTCCTGGTTTCGGATTCTATATGGTTGAATATGGATTTCCATTTTAAAAATTTTCATATTCAACCATATAGGGAAACCTATCTGGAAATACATATAGAACAGAAACCAGATAAATCCATATACAACCATATACATGTCTTTATAAAGTGTTTTTATCTGGTTCTATAGTGTTTTAGAGTGTTTTTATCTGGTTCTATAATGTAATCTTCTATCTGGTTCTATAGTGAAATGCCTGTTTCAAATACCTATATTGAACCAGATAGAAACCATATAGAATCCAGATACGTGTTTTTTATATGATTCTATATGGCATTTTCAATAGGGTTGATTTGAAAAAAATGTTCTTCCTCTTGGGAAAGATAATACCCTTCTAATAGACCATACATTTTATCTATGCCATCTACTTTTTATATTTGGAAAAGCTACTCCTGATTTTAATTTTATATATCGTTTCAGGCAAATGCTGCAACATATAAGAACCATCCCAGAAATCATTTTATTGGGAAACAACTCCCAGACCATCAAAAGAATCCCGGTTTTCTCCTTCATGGTGAAACACCCCAGAGGAACGTTTCTGCACCACAACTTCATATGCGCCGTTTTAAACGACGTTTTCGGTATACAGGCGAGAGCTGGCTGCCCGTGTTCAGGCGCGTACGCTCAAGAACTGCTCGGCATAGACCAAAGTTTGGCCGACCAGTACGAGAGCATCATCCTGGAGGATCGCAGGTTGAGCAGCTTGAATCTGGGCGTCGAGAATTCGTCTTTGGAGCTGTTGAGGCCCGGTTTCACGAGAATAAGTCTTCCGTATTTTATCAACGATGCGGAGCTGGCTTTCGTGATGGAAGCCATGAAGATGGTGGCCACCGAAGGGTGGAAGTTGCTGCCGCAATATGTGGTGGATTTGGAGACGGGCGAATGGAGGCACCATTCTAACGCCGTGTCCAAGGATAGAAAGTGGCTGAGCCAAATCAGATACGTGGATGGAAAAATGACTATGAACGAGAGACGCATCTCGGGGCCTGGATTGTTCCCACAAAGTTACTCCGAAAGTCTGCAGACAGCGAGAAATCTGTTCAATAGAGCGAGAAAAACGGCCAATAGAATACCATATCACGATCAAGGTATAACCTTCGATGCCAGAAGCGAAAATTTCAGATGGTTTTTGTTGCAACACGAAGCTCAAAGTTTACTGACATCGAACGCTCAAAATGTGAAGCAAAAAACCCCTTTCGACCCCATAGGAGGTGTAAGCAGTCGAAAATCCGACACCACAGACAAAAGTCACCAAATTCAGCCATGCGGCTCGCCGAGACATTACAGTTTACCTTCCATAGACGATCCGAAGGTTATGACGTCCAGTTCCCCAGTGCCATATTTTCTCCACGACGTAAACGGGTTGTACTACCCGCACATGACGCAACAAAGTATAAACTTCGCGGTGGGCGAGTCGGTGAACTCGCAAATGCAGCAAAACTTCGCCAGGGAGCGCTGCCTGTCGCTCGGGGCGCCGAACATATCTCCGCCGGTTTTGAGCCCGCAAACCAGAGCCAGCTTGGGCATGAACAGCGCGCAAACGACGCGGCAGAGGCAGTACAGCTGCAGCAGTCAGAGCGAGCTGCACTCTTTGGAAAGCGACGCGAATCTCTCCCCCACGCACAGCCTCAACATTTTGTACAGCAGCACTCACGAGTTGGGTAGGTCTTCACCTGCCCCCGACCTGCAAACGTACGTCCAGGAAATGACGAAGGAGATCGCTACCAACATCAAATCGGAGATCAGGGAGGTTATCAATAAAGTTGAAGATGTCTTGGAGAACACGGAGTGTTCGTATTACGAAAGGCACGGCAGTGGGAGCGAGGATGGGAGAAGCGATTCGATATCGGCCAACGAAGTTGCGGAATATTTGGAGAAGGTCTCCATCGAGATGGCAAACGAGGTCAAATCCGAAATACGCGACGTTGTAAGTGCCGTGGATGTCTTCATAACGCCCGAAATTCAAGAGAGAGGTTCGTTTTCGAGGGCTTCGAGTTCCGGCGATGAAAAGAACGGCGCCGTGCAAATATACACGCCCGGTTCAAGCTCCGAGACGGTGGTGAACCTCATCAATAAGTCTTCTAGCTCCACCAAGTTGCACGAAGACAAAAATCATAAACACGTAGTTTCAACTGTGGCAAGCGTGAGCTCTCAAGATAGCGGCATCAATCTTTCCTTCCACGATCCCGACAATCAAAACGATCAAGCTAAATCTAGAAGCAACTCTGAGTCTTTGGGAGTGCATAGAAAGTCCGACTCGGAAATTAAGTTGATAAGGCCTAAACCCGTTATGTTCAGAGAGCTCTCAGAGGACAACTCGAGCATGGAAAAGACCTCCAAGTGGTTGTGCCCACAAAAAACAATTTGGCAACCCACTGTGGAGTCCATCCAAGAGTACGAAATGATCAAGGATGGTGATAAAGTTATGGTATGTCTTTCCGGAGGTAAAGATTCTTTAACTCTTTTGCATACTTTGTTACAATATCAAAATTATATACAAAGTAAAGGCATACTATTCAGCCTTGGAGCTGTAACAGTGGATCCCGAGGATTCAGGATGTGACCCTTGTACTTTGATTCCACACTTGAGGCGACTTGGTGTTCATTATATCATCGATGATAAAAAGAGCATGTCAGAAAGTTCATCAGGTAACATTATACAAAATAAAGTGATTCAAAAAAAATCATTATTAACCAATCCCTTAATTAAATCTTTAAACATATTTTTGTAGAAAATTGATTGCTCTACAAAAAAGAACTGATATGTTTAAGCGGTTACTCTAACCATTTAAAAGATATTCAAGATCAAAGTTTGAAGAATTTATTAAACAATTTTTTTTTATTTATTATTTAAATCATTGAAAATTAATTATCGTCAAATGAGTATAGTATATTTTAGGAAATTTAACGCTCTACAAAAAAGGTCTGATGTGTTTAACTGATTACTCTAACCGTTAAAAAGATATTCGTATCCGAATCCTAATGCGTACTGATAAGAATATCTTCTCAACGGCTAGTAATCGATTAAACACGTCAGACCTTTTTTGTAGAGCATTCAATTTCCTACAATAATATGTATGAAGATTTGATTAAACGAATGATTAATAATGAAATATGGTATTTTTTATAAGGGCCTATTAATACACTGCCCGTCAAAATTAACGCATAACAACTAAAAAAATTCTAACTCTAAAACGCCTTTACCAATCTTTTTATAATTTTGGATAAAAATACTTTAACTTATATCTCAGTTTACGTGTTCAAGGGTTTTTCGAAAAAATATCCTTTTATTCTATATTAAAAAAACTTTTTACCACTTTTCAGCAAAATAATCAAAAAGGGTTCATTTTTACCGAATCTTCGTTACTGTTCGTTTGATTTGTACAAAATTTTCAGGGTATACTAACAAAAATACGGTCTTTAACAGCATATTTGTTCTTTACTTAAAAAAAATTCCCTATAAAAGTTTTTTTTCGAGCGTTTTTTTAATATTAAATAAAAGGGCTTTAAAAATATTTTCTCGAAAAACTCTTCTTATACAACTCTTCTTATACAAAATTTCATAAAGATTGGTAAAGGCGTTTTAGAGTTAGAATTTTTTTACTTATTATGCGTTAATTTTGACGCGCAGTGTATTAATAATAAAAAAAAATCGATTTATTTGAATCCCCCTAATATATAACCTATAATAGGTTAACATTTTTAATTGTTCTAGATAAAAGTGATGATGTCAAAGAAAACATAAACTCTTTTTGTACTTCCCATCTAAGACAGCGACTATATAACTCGGCCAAAAGCTCTGGATATAACGTTCTAGCTATAGCCCAACATTTTGACGATTTATGTGAGAGTTTTCTACTATCCGTGTTCCATAATGGCAAATTAAGAACGATGAGGGCACATTATTATGTCAGGTAAGCAAATAAAAGCCTTACAACGAATATCATTTATTATAATGAATATTTAGCATTAATTTTAAGCTCATGAGTAAATTCTACCCTTATTTAATAGGTCACACCATAGGGTTTAAACGAAATTTAAGAAAAAACAAAAGACGATCTACTTAACATTAGGTGTGTAGTGTGACCTATCAAACAAGGGTAGAATTTTCCAGAAAGCTTAAAAATGTTGATATTAACACCCTTAATTTTGCCATATTATAACTAATGTTGTTTTTTTGTTTAGGGAGCACGACTTGAGAGTCATAAGACCTTTTGTTTACGTTCGCGAAAAGGCCATAAGGCAGTTCGTTTCCAACCACAATCTTCCATTGTCTAACAACGCGACCTGTTCGAACTTATCGAAAGAGCGCCAGAGAATAAAACAATTACTTACTCAGCAAGAAATTTTGTTCCCGAAATTATTTACGAGCCTTAGATCGGCGCTACACAAACTAATTGGCTTCCATGTTGAAGAGGTAGAAATAAAATCCCGAAAAAAAAATTCTTCGAAGGAAAGTGACGATTCGAGCGACGAAACCGACGAAGAACCGTATTTGAAAATGGAATGAAATTGTCGATGCTTAAAATTGAATGTACAAATATAATTGCGTGATATTTAAATTTTTACTTCTTTTGGCGATATGAATAGTAGAGCGTTCAGATCTTGCATTTGATTTTCGGATGTCAAATGAAGTTGCGGAAATTTCGGTGTAAGAGATGCTGCCATTTTAATAAAAAAAATTACGTTTTGAGCTCATTTAAGCCTGACTTGATGGGTCGCACCATGAGGTTTAAAAAAACAAAAGGCGATCGAAGTAAAAATAGACATATAATGCGACCCATCAAGTAAGGGTGGAATTGACCAGATAATACGATGGTGAAGTCAAAATTTTAAAATTGATTGTGATGGTGGTAATCTCGAAATTATTTTTATCTACTTATTTGATAAGTATTATTGTGATGGCCCGCGGGGTTTTATTTCTATAAATCTCATTTAATTCGACTAATTAAACTACATAAAATTTCCATTAAATTAAATGGGATGGATTTGTTGACTGATTTATTTTTCGTTTTTTGTTCGTTACGTATTTTAGCTATAGCGTAGCTTGCGATTAGGTTGCATTTTTTTGAATATTTATATGTGAAAAATTTTGTTATAAAAGGAATGAACAGTTATTATATTATATATAAGTATAAATCTTCCCATAGGGTTTGTGATGATTCAAAATATATTATTGTTATCATATTTAAGATATATTTAATATTTGTTAACAATAATGCAAATGTATTTTATTTCCTACCATGTAATAAAATATTATTATAATCAAACGAGTTTTATTTAAAGCTAAATTCATTAATAAATCCCTGGATGAATTTTATTGTGACTTGATGACAAACTATGGGGGTTTAAACAACATTTAAGAAAAACAAAAGACGATCTACTTGAAGATATCGCCATATTAATAACAAAAATAACTTTCTGAGCCCATTTTAGTCCGACTTGATAGGTCGCACCATGGGGTTTAAATACAGTTTAACAACAAAACAAAAGACGATCTAAGTAAAAATAGATAGCAAGTGCGACCCATCAAACAAGGGTAGAATTTTCCAGAAAGCTTAAAAAATTTATTATTTATTGCGCATCAAGAAAAACAACAAATATTGTAACATCGCTTTATTTAGTATAAATCAGTTGTTATTTTTGTTCGTCGTTGCCTTTTTTACCACATTTTGAACCTAAAACAAAATAATTTAATTTAAGAAAATTTATGAAAAAAATTACCTTCTGCGCATTTACAGTCATCTCCGCATGTGCAGTCCTTTCCGCATTTTTTACTACCATCACCGCATGTTTCTAAAAAATTAATTTTCCCAAAGATATATTAATATTCATTTTATCTATAATTTTTATAAATAAATGACCTAAGACATAAAGAATTAAAATCACTTCAACTAGCGTCCACTCATAATAATAAAGCTGTTAAATTTACATACATGTTTTATAGAGAAATATTGGAGATAAAATAAAATTTAATTGCAAAGCACTAACACAAGTGTTATACGTATTTAATGAAACAAGTTTTTTTTTAATAATATTATGTAAATATTTTTACCTAAGTTGCAATAGACATACCAATAGCAAGATCTTATTATTCTAAATGTGCAGTGGTTTTTACTTTTATAATTTTATCAGTTTCAACTAAAATGAAGTTGATTATGTTGTTTATGTGTTTAATTTTTGTTCAAACGGTTTTTTTACAAGACGCAAATAGAATTGTTTTTCCTGATGAGTACGAGGAAATAAAAAGTGTTCAAAAAGGTGGGTACTAGATATCGTCTGTAGCCAAGAAAAATTGCACATATAAAAAAAACTCAGTTCTAATAAAGAGGGTGTCCTAAAAACTGCTTCTAATGTTTCAAGAATAAAAATTTTAAATTTGTTAATTTGTTAATTTATTATAACAAAGTTAGGTATAACTTATTACTTTCAGTTGACACACCACCCAGAAGTCTTTTTGGAAATCTACCATGTGCAAGGGGATACATAAAAAGAAACGGAGAATGTAAAAAAACGATGTCATTTTTTAAGTCCATCTAAGAATCTAAGATGCAATAGACTTTTAAAAACAGTATTTATCTAAAATTTATTATGTTATCTTTTTTGTTTTTATACTTGTTTGTTCCAAATTAGTTTTAAATAAAATTATGTTGGCGACATACGTATTTATTTTGTGTTTAACATGTAACTTTTTTCAAATGGTATTTTTACAAAATGAAAGTAGGATTGTATTTCCTGACGAATTTGAAAAAATTGTCGAAAATAGTAAAAATGACAGTGTAGGTGAGTAAAATCTGTTTTAGATACCTATATAACAGATGGTTGTATTTACTGAAAGTTTTATTTTTTAGAATATTATAATACAGTTATTTTTACATCATTGCCAATAATTTATTGCAGAAGAGAGACTTCAAAATATTTTTTTGTATTTCCAACAATATTTTTAACATATTAAGTAAATTTTAGTGTAACTTAATGGGTCACACTATACCATTAAAATTATATTTAAGAAAAAACAAAATCATCTAATCAATAGTGTGACATATCAAGTAAGGCTAACATTTTCCAGAAAACACGAAATCACCATCAAAACTTAAACAAATTCACTGAGAACAAAGGTAACTTTGTAATTGTTTTTTTTATAATTTTAATGATTTCAGACAAAAATTAAACTTCTAGTGAGTAACAACAGACTTGACTGATTTGTCCAAGGTATAATTTTAGTATAATTTTTTATACATTTTGTTTTTTAGTTAATATACACGAAAGACATCTATTCCGAGAAATACCTTGTACAGTAGGATACATAAAATTTAGAGGAAAATGCAGAAAAACTATTGTGTTCAAACATTAAAATAAATGCTGGAAATTAATGGTTTGTTTGTATATCTTTTTACATTAAGAAAGGCTTACCTTTGCAATCATCACAGGGGGAAGGCATTTTTTATCAATGTAGAATTTGTCTTTGACTTACACGATGTATCGTGCTACTACTCACCGGTGCTACAGTCTACTATGTTTACAGGCCGTTTTAGCAACGGGCATGCGCATAAATATCGATTAAAACACAGATTCATAAAATATATTCTTTAGTCAACAACTAACAATGACAATAAACTAGAAATAAAATCAATTAGGTACTTAATATTTGGTACAGAACTCAAAAACTTAACTAATAAACATTAAACTAAGGTATCTAACATTTCTTTGGTTTGATATAAATTTCTTGGGATGGTCTCCTTTTTATATTTTTGGGGCGTACTGCTGTAGAGTAACGCCTGCAGCATTTCGTATTCCTGCTCTTCGTGCAGGATGTCGCTGTGTAAAGCTTCCAGAAAATTTCTTCGCTTTTGAAGAAGATCGGTGGTTTCTTCCAAAACCACTTCATTATGCTGCATTTCGCAAGAACTTTTGGTCATGTCTGTACGCAATTTGGAGAGGTTCTTCGTAATTTCCTCATCTTTTTCTTTGTCGTATTTTTTTAAGTTTATTTCTAGACGAACCAAGGATTCTTCCTCTCTTAGGAGGCGTTTATTTAATTTGGCTATTTTCTCCAGTAATTCTACTTGTTCCACCACTGTAGCTTCACTTAGAGTGGAGCTCGTATCTTCATCTTTAATCTCTTTGAAATCTTCAGAGGTTGGGCTGTATCTTCCTATACTCTGCAAAAATAACATTTTTTATGGTATTTTTGACTTCCCAAGTAAATTTTAGTCTCATTTGATAGGTCACACTATATGGTTTAAACAATGTTTAAGAAAAAACAAAAGACGGTCTACTTAACATTAAGTGTATAGTGTGACCTATCAAACAAGGCTATAATTTACTGGAAAACACAAAAATAACATTGGATTTCCAAAATTTGCATGCACAAGAAAGTTACAAATGTATGGGTATATAAATAAGTAAACTGGCTGGCGAAAAAAATTATGTGTACGGTGTTAACTATTAAAAAAAGGTAGAATTACAGATGTTTAAAACTCGAATGTACAAGAAAATTACCTCTGCATGTGTATTTTTGTCCTTTGAATTTGATTGTTCGCTGTCGCCTTCGGTCATAACACCGCTGTCGCTGTTTTTGTCGACGCCAAGGTTCTCGCAATCGGGTCGGACAGCTTCCGATAGACTTTTTAGGTAGGTTTCCAGAAGATAATTGCTGCCATGTTTGCGTATTCTAGCTCTGTGAGTTTTGTCTTCCAGGCAACCTATTTGATGCTCACTATGTCTAAAAAATATTTAATTACTTTAATATTGCTTGGATTATGTTTTTTTTGCGTACCTGAGTTTTTTTAATTGTCTTTTAATGACTTCCCCTTGTGCTAATACAAGTTTGAGTAATTCTTCTGTACTCGAGGGTTTATTTTCATTTTGCATTTGGTTTAGCCTCTTTGGATGGATGGTTTTCCATGCGCTTCTGTCTGAACAATCAGATTTACACCTCGATCTTCTGTTTCTATCACTTTTTACTCTCCTCAAAGAGATTTTAACTTCCGTTTGGGCTCTTCCCCACGCATTCCAAATGTCTAAAATTGGAGAAAACGGATCTAGTGGCTGTTCGACTCCGCGCCATCTTTCTGTTATGTAGTAATTTTCTGTAACTGCCGTGGGGCGTCCCTAAAAATAACACATAAAAAATTAAATATATAGCAAACATAACAATACATATGGTATTTCGTTTAGCAAAGATCACGAGTATACTACATCGTTAAGATTAATTACTTAACGTGAAGAGCCGTTCTCTATTAAGTTAACGTAATGCAGTCTTATTTGCATTTCAAAGTGGTAAAGCATGCTGCAAGATCTCCCGATCTTATGTCTATTGAAAGTAAAAGCAAAAATCGTTTGAATACCCTGTTTTTTTATTTTGCCAAATTACATTCATGGCATACAGAGTTAACTAATAAAGTAAAAATCGTTTAATGTTTGATGATATAAAAAACAAAAGACGATCAAGTGATGTAAAATATAACAATATTTTTGACATTTTGAGTAAATTCTAGTGTGAATTGATGGGTCACACTATACCAATAAAATGACATTTAAGAAAAAAACAAAAGACAATCGACTTAACAATAGACATATAGTGTGACATATCAAGTAAGGTTAAAATTTTCCAGAAAACACGAAATCACAATCAAAATTTTAACAATCTCACTGGGAACAAAGTTACATACCCTGTTTTCTTCGTCCTGCAAAAGCACGTTGATGACATCTTGACACGTGGTTTCCTCCGATATTCCCGAGACGAATCGTTGCTCTCCCCTTACCCAAATTGGAATTTCTTCGCCACTACTCAAAGAATCGCTGTCGTCTGTATCGTCCAAGGTGATTTTTTGGTTGTCAATCCACATCATTTTTGCTATAAATATAAGGTTGAAGTTTAGAAGGTGTAGCTTAAAAATTAGATGAGATAGAGAAAAATGGTTTTTTATGTTGTAAAATACAATATCTTGTCTGAAAATACTGTAAATTTTACTAAAATAAAGAGTAGATGGAAATATTAGTTATAACTAATATTTTCCATCTACTAGGTATACCTTTATAGGAAAAGGGGTTTTAATTTTTTATAAATATAGTGGATTTTTATTGAGAATTATTAAGAAAACTATGCTATTTAAATAAAAACTAGAATTTTTAATGTATCTCAAAAAATAAAAGAGTTAAACTTCAGCCTTACAACTCTACACAACAAAAGGCTATGTACTTAATCTTTATTTTTAAACCGAAAAAAGCATTATACTACTTAATTTTCTCGGCAAATGATCGTGTTTGAAGGAGATGGTCGGTTCGCCAATAATTGCCGCTCGGTTAAAACATTATAATTATTTAGGCTTCTCTGCAGAAAGCTAAAAGGTAGTTGGTAACATGCGGTGAGTAATTAGGGTTGGCAACATTGACTTTCGGCGTCGTCTCATTAATCAAGAACTCCTCTTCGTGACGCAATCGTTCTTCAACAGGTGACCTTGAAAATACGACTTGGGACGTTCCTAGGTACACCAGAAATTCAGTTGTTTACGCAAAAAAACTAAAAATAGATTGAAAATCCAAATAAATGTTGTTTGTTTTTAAACTTTTACTTTTAATATGCAAGTTTTCTTAAGAATCACCCATATTTTTTAGAGGATTTTAGGATCGGCCCCACTTTTCTAATTACTATAATTAACGTTGTACTTCTGTTTCATTGAATTACAGGGAAGATAAAAGATCATTTATTATTTTTTGCAAAATGCATAAATATAAATATAAACTAAGTAAAAACAAAACACGATCTTTTAAAACCAAAAATAATAAAATTTGAATTTTTGACAGTATTTTTGACATTCTGAGTAAGTTTTAGTGTGACTTGATGCGTCACACCATATCAAAATAATGATGTATAAGAAAAAACAAAAGACGATCGAGTTAACAATATACACCTATCAAAAAACGGTTGAATTTGCTATAAAACACAAAAATTATATGAGATTTTTAAAATGATCATTTTTAAGAGTTACCATAGTATTAAAGAATTAAATAAAGACAAAATAAATTAAAGGTATTTTAATAATAAAAAATAACAGTAAATATCATATATCATGATGAATTTTACTACCCAAGCGTTGTTATAGTGCAAAATTAAAATTACTTATTGTTTTTCATAATTATACATAATGGGCTGTAACTTATATCTCATTATGCTTCAGCTTGTTAACCAAAAATTACGTGGTAAAAATAATTAAGTATTTAAAAATAAAATGATGTAGCCTTTTGGAGTAATCCAATAAAGTTTATTTTTATTTTATTATTAAAATGATGAATTTGTTTTTAATTTATTAATATTTATACAACTATTGCCAGAAACAATAAAAACAATAAATCAGACAGATGTTATGCTGTATATTAATTATATGGTTATTTTAGTGTTTTTGTTTTTTATGTCCTTGAACGCTAAATAAATAAGTTTACTTGAGGTGGCTACCAGCAGAATTAATAATTTTATGTAATTGTTTTCCAAGTTGGCAATGCCAATTTTGAAGTAAATTGGCTGACAAATTTTGCCTTGAAATAATAAGTAGTCCATTTTTTTATTTTAGCATTTTGGTTTTTTTAATGAAACAGTAAATTTTGCAGATAAAACATCTGTTTTATTTATTAACCAACCAATCAAATTTCTAATTCAATTAACATATTATCGTTATTAATAACCTACATTTGTTAATTTATTAATTGAACGACCAAATATTTTAAGTTAACAAGTTTTTTTTAATTTTTAATAAAACTGTAAAATGACAAATTACATTGTCTTTTATTGACTTTTTAACATCCTTTTTAATCATTTAAATTAGTTGTATAATTTGTTAAATATTCTGTTTATATTTTGCGACATTTTTGTCATTAAATTTTGAGAAATGTGCTGATTAAAACAAAATTATCAAAGCACAAAAAATTAAAAACGTAAAATAAATTGTCTTAATTTGTTTTTTGACATTAGTTGCTAATATAATGTCTTTTATACTTTTGCAATGTAGGTATAGCCTCGAGAAAAGTTGTACTTAAATGGCCATATAGATATCTGGTTTGGGCAATAAAATATTTTATTTGTTAATTAAGTAGCAATAAGCATTTTCAATTACGAATTATAAAAGATAAGCTGGCTTTACCTACTTTTTGATATTCCGATTGAAAGTCTTGCTACGTCACAAAAAATCAAAACTAATCGTATTTTTCTGAATGCAGTGCAATTGACATAAATAAACGTTATAAAGATGTTCGACATGAAATTTTCGATCAAATAATAAAAATATTAATTTTTTGTTCTTTGAGTTTCTCCTCTTTTTACAAACAAATCAAATAAATGAAATATTCATTACGTTTTGTAACGGTTTAGCCAATGAATTAGAATCTTTGAAGAAGCATTTCCTCGCCAAGTTTTTTTCGTAGGCTGTACGCGTGCTACAATGGACAGCTGTGAGGCATCACGTTATCTGATCTTAATCTATGATTTTATTGGTCGGTGTGTTTTTATATTGAAGAATTTAGCGCAGACCTCCAACAAGCATAAGATAGTTGCATCTTTAAAAACTAAAAACTATATAAATTGCATTTTCGACCGTATTTTTGATATTCTGAGAAAATTTTGGTGTGACTTGGTGGGTCACACCATAGCAAAATAATGATGTTTAAGAAAAAACAAAAGACGATCGAGTTAACAATAAACACATAGTGTGACCTATTAAATTCTTATTTTTAAAAAAGTTGGTTATGTAAAGAATCAAAAAATTAGTTTTATCAAGAGTAACTGGGATTTTTTGTATCTCCTTTGTGGTTTATTAATAATTTTCTCATTAATGTCAAAAGGAAATTCACAATATTAACCTAATCTATACAAAAAACGAAAATCCACTTAATATAGTTATAATATACCTATGTACATAGTTTGATATCAAAAACAAAAAAATGTAAATCCCACCATTAAAGTTAAATCATAATAAAACTACAAACCAGGCCGATTGTCGAGGAGATAAATACATTTTTTATTTATATTTTTATTTCATTATACGGGTGTTTTCAGTGAATGTCATTTTTGGCAATATTTTTGATTTTCTGAGTAAATTTTAGTGTGATTTGATGGGTCACACCATAGCAAAATAATGATGTTTAAGAAAAAAGAAAAGATGATCGAGTTGAGAATAAACACATAGTGTGACCTATCAGCACAGGCTAAAATTTCCTAAAAAACTCAAATATCATATAAGATTTTTAAAAATCGTATTTTTTAAAAAGTTGGTTTTGTCAACAAAAAAAAATACAAATCCCAGTATTAAAGTTAAATCATAATACAACTACAAGCCGTTATCTGAATTGATTTTCACAATTTTTCATTACAACATTGTATTATGGACATTTGCATATGGCGTATACGTGGGGATTTTTATTTAAACCACCCACATTAGATGAGTCACAACAAGTAAGGTTTATTTCAATTTGCTCAACAATAAATAACAAATAAATTATTGACATTGTATGCAGACAGCATTAATATAAAATTAACTATACTGATAGAAAATATGCAAAACCAGCCTATTATTGTATTATATAATTTTTTTTATAAAATTGTTTGAAACATGTTTATATATATTTTTTTAAATTACTAGGAATATATATTGATATTTTTTGATTTTGTTTTAAAGAATGTGTCACTTTTTAGTGCAACAGTGTTGCCAGAGTAACTTTTTCTATGTAGATCAAGGGAATTTGTGTGTAACGTTAATGTTTTCATAAATTCAGCGATAAATCAGAATGTGTCTCAAATAAAAAACTACCTACACGCAAACATATTATTTATTGCTACACATAGTGATATATTACACGAGTAACAACAATAACAACCGCTTATTACTACCGTGTTGGGAAAATTCAGAGCACATGTGACAAATAGAGGGAAAAAATCGCTGTGAGGCTCGTACACGTATGTGACAATAAGCCTTATAAGTTTATTCCAGTTTTTTGTCAGCGCAAACGAGGCATTAATTTTATATAGAAAATGAAATTAACTACTGGAACTTGTTATGCAGGCTTCAGTTTCATAAAACTAGAAATAAATTGGTGTTATAACAAGTTCAGTTTATAAATCTAGATGAAAGGAAATATTACCCACTGTTAATGAAGAAGAAATTCAAAATATTTGTTTTTAAAAATATGTTTAACTTAATTTATAAGAAACACAAATTTTTTGTTTTTAAATAAATGTATGCCTTTTTGTTTAAAAATATTATGAAAAAAATATTATTAAAAACAAATATATAAATTATTTACTTAATTAAGTATGCGATCGAATTTTTAATATGTCCCACACGTAAACAAGTTTAATGTACATAAATAATAATAATTTAGTAACACAAATAAAATATCTTATCTATATTATTTCCTTATAAGGAGTAAATATTTCTGGAGGCTGTAAATGTTATTACAAAACTTATAAAAGACATAATTAGCAATTACAGGTGATAAATATAGCAAACAATTGTCTGTTCTTGAAACAAATCGCTAATTAAATGTTCCTATTTCGTATTTTTATTTAATAAAATGTCAATTATTATCAATCATATAATTGGATTAGAGAAAAAGTCGTAAACAAATTTAGTTATTACATGTATTAAAATAATAATTTACATTATTAAACATAGTTGTATATCTGATCTTATTAGTCTAATTAGGTATAGATATAATAATTATAGATTAAATAATAATATATAGAAGCTACTTATTGATTATAGATTATTTTTTATGCGAAATAATGATTTCATTATTTATAATAATTCCTTTCTCAGGATGGTAAAATTTGTAATATATTTTATAAAACTGATTACAACATGTATAAGGAAAATATTTATACAGGGTGTTCCCGGATCAATTGATTAACTTGGCAAATTGAATTGTAATTTTTTGAAAATTCATTTTAGGTCAAGCAGGTCCATTTCAAATTTATTCCGGGGACACCCTGTATAAATATTTTCCTTATACATGTTGTAATCAGTTTTATAAAATATATTACAAATTTTACCATCCTGAGAAAGGAAATATTATAAGGAAGAAAATAAATCGTTGCAGGTAAAGTGGTCTTTTCGTTAATTTTACGAAAAAATTATATTTGGATAAAGTATTTTTCATTAAAAATTAGGGCCATATACCAACTTTCGTTGCAGTTTGAATGGCCTGAAAACTTTTGTTCGAACTGTAGCTAATTTGCCCCAATCCATAGCATTGCACAATCAATATTTTTTGATCGAGGTTAATTTCACGTATAAACCAACTAATAATGTCAAATCTTCGACACTTTACATTAATAGTTTACACAAACGAATTTTTGGGCTTTAAAACTCATTTTTCAATAAAACTTTGCTTACAACATGTTTAGATAAATTACATCAATAACAGAAATAATTAATTTTTAATTAATTGGAACTAACCATGCAGAAGTAAGACTAGTTTTTGAACTAAAAATTTCTATTAAGTACACTCACAGGCAAAATAATCGATCCAAACAAATTTTCGATGAATTTCAATCGCAAATAACTTTTTTATTTGTTGTCGGATTTAAACGAATATTAAAGAATATTGTAGTTAAATTAATGGACAATCGCTCACATTTTAAACAATTACTAAAAAATAGACGTACGTTTATTATATATACAGGTTTAAACAAAAATATGTTTTTTACCATAAGTTTAAGACACTCTGTAGAGTGGCAAAATCGTATATTGTTCTATTTATCAAGTCACATCTATTCTTAACAGTTTTGTTTTTGGTTCACCTCGATAAATTTATTTTTGTGGAAAATATGGATTTTTTAAAAAAACATTGCAATTTCCAATATTTTTCTGTATGAAGAACTAAGGTTGCTATGGTCCATCCATATGCTATGGAGAATGACAGTGACAGTTTTGTTGAATCATCCCATACTTGGACATGTCATACACGGCTTTCAAAAGCTATTAAATTGTTTTTTGCAAATTAATGTTTAAATTTTGAGGTGTCTTCTGAGAAGACTCTTCTCACTTAAAAAAATGGATATGTCCCCGACTAATGTTGCCAGAGCCATTAATTTAATCCAGGATGGACGGTCACAGTATTACGTGGCAAGTGTTTTAAACGTCACAAGAAGTTAAGTACAAAGGGCAACATCAGTCAGAGACATTTTTAAAAGTAAGAAAACACCTCAAAATTAACACATTAATTTACAAAAATCAATTTGATAGCTTTTGAAAGCTGTATATGACATGTCCAAGTATGGGATGATTCAACAAAAATGTCACTGTCATCCTCCGTAGGCTATGGATGGACCATAGCAACCTAAGTTCTTCATACAGGAAAAATATTGGAAATTGCAATTTAAAAAAAAAAAATCCATATTTTCCACAAAAAGAAATATATCAAGGTGAACCAAAAACAAAACTGTTAAAAATAGATGCGACTTGATAATTAAAACTTAATTTAGAATAATATACGGTTTTAGAGTGGCTACAGAGTGTCTTAAACTTATGGTAAAAAACATCTTTTTGTTTAAACCTGTATATTATAAACGTACCAGTAATTTTTAAAATGTGAGCGATTCTCCATTAATGTATATATAATATTCTTTAATATTTGTTTAAATCCGAAATCAAATAAAAAAGTTATTTGCGATTGAAATTCATCGAAAATTTGTGTGGATCGATTATTTTGCCTGTGAGTGTAGTATCTAGGATTAATAATAATTTAAAACGAGTATGTACATAGGTAATTGCAATAGACGTTTAAAAGTGTTTTTTCACTAATAACGATAAAGCAAACATGTCAATGGTGTCATTAGTTGCCTAATATCCACTAATAACTTTAATAAATTATTTATTCAAGCAATTTGTAAGTCTATCAACAAGAAAATATTAAATATCGAGTTGCGCAAACAAAATAAGAGTGGGACACCCTGTATATAAAAAATTATGGATTAGTTTAATATTAAAATAAGACAAATAAAAGAATAGATATTCTCATGAAAGATTCATTGAATCTGTATGATCAGGATGGCTGGGAATTACGTGCATCCGTTCTAGACGTTACGTGTGTACAACCTCATGAACAATTACAAAAAACAAAAAACTATAATATACCTAATGATCAAATTATACCGCAAAACTAATAGAACGTTCAAATTGGCGCCCAGCAGTCAAAATAATTAAAACCTTCTATAAATCTAAAACGAGTAGGCCGATATAAAGAAAATTTTCATGGCAAACTAATTAAAACGCCAAAATTATTTCGTTTGAAATTCCATCACGTTGATTTATATGTAGGGCGTTATTAGGACAAAATGATTTGTAGTTTTTTTCTACAAAACGAGTTGAACTTTCACTTATATCCGTTTGCGATGGGATTCCTTATAAAATTGTTTCGTGACGGCATTTGTTCACGTCAAATCGCCCCTCCCACCCGTATTGTTTTGTTTCATTGGAAAGCAATTGTTCACAAATACGTACATACGATTTTTACACGGGAAGATTGATTCTGCTGTTAACTCGTAAACGGTTGACTTTAGAGAAAAAAGTGGGGGTCATTTTGATAGCAAATTTAGTGTTCTACAAAAAAGATCTTATAAGTCGAGTCTCTAAAATTAATATTTTAAGAGATAGATTAACTTATACAATAAATAATATTCATTTTATATTGATATATATTGATTTTTAAGCCGTGTGAAAAACATGGGGTCTATATGAAAAATATAGGGTCTGTAAGCAAGGTAATTGTGAGAAAGTTATTGTTTGTACCAGTGTTGGTTTTATGGTCCATGAATTTTAATATTCTTTAAATTGTTGTGGTACAATATTTGTTATAATATATAGGTACAATGTTAAGGATTAACTTTGATATAGGTGTAATTTACGAAAAAATACGGTTAAAATCATCAACAAAATCTCTGGCGTAAAATTTGAATTTGTTCATAAACCGTTTGTTTCATTTTCTCCGTTTACCGGTGTGCATATGCCTCCTCACAGTGTGTCTGAATTCAGATTGAAATTTATTATTATTATTCTCGGACCGTATTGTTGTGTGTGGGCTAACAGAACAGTTATGCAACATCAAGCCCAAAGTATTGAAATTAGTAATCGGTACACTATAGGGAGTGTATCTCAAAATTTACAAAAGTTGGAATATTGAATATGTTATAAATAAATTATTTTTGTAAAGCATATCCAACGTTTTTAGTTTTAATTTTTTTTGTTAAAAGATACATACAATACAGAGTGGTAAAAAAATACATACCCTTTCATCCAAAATGGTTAAAACCTTCAACAAGAAAAAACAAATTAACATAAAAATAATCAACAAAAAAATTAAATACGAGGTTGTCTAGGCATTTTCGCACATGACAATAAGTAATATAAGTTCATTCCCATATAAATAAGAATAATAATATTACGTCAAAAATGTATTACTTAGTTTCATTTTATTTAAATAAATTGTTTAACATCCATTTGCATAATATAGTAGTGCATGAAAACAATTATAAGACAACAATGGCTTTAACCTTTTGTAGGTTTGTAAACTAAGAAAAAAATGTATACCTACATACATACATGTATTGCATTTTTTCTATTATTGTTAAATTATAAAATTTATTCAAGTTATTTTTTTAAGTACCAAGAATAAGATTTCGGTCTTTTAAATATTGTAATTTTTATTAAAAAACTGTTGTTAGTCCATTTTTAAGGGATACATTTCGATTTACACATATAAATTTGACATTTTCAAAGGCGCGAAATACAGAGTTCCAATAATGGTTACTCTATTGTTTTATAGATGTCCCTCTACACAAATATTTAATTTAAATCATTTTTAGATTATAATACACTGTTATAAAAATCGGATTTGTATACAACTATAGTTTGTTAATTTTAACATAATTTGTAATTATTTTTACAAAAGAAAATACTATGGAAAAATCTCTCCTATTACGGAATTTGACCGTTATAATATCACTTTTATCTATGGAATGACAAATATTTCGTAAAGTGTTACAGAATAAAATATTCTATCATCGGTGACAGAATAAACACTCGTGGCGACATCTCTGTTTTTAATATCTAACAAATTTTAGACCGATCCAACCTCACTTTCTTCCAATAAAATTATTTTTTTATGGTATTTTTTGGAAACGTAGAAAAAGTATAGTCTGAAACACGTCTGGAATTGCATATTCCCCTCTCGTGAAACCGTCAAACTCGCCTTCGGCTCGTGTGACAAACTGTTCACTCGAGCGGAATATGCTGTATTCCAAACTTGTTACAGAATATACTATTTTAATATAAAATTATGTACTCAAAAGAAACTAGCAAAAGTGATAGTTATTGCACCTGAAGCAATAAAAATAGATATTACCTTATTAACTCGATGGTAAATATTTTGAAAAGGTCAATTTTCTGATGAGTAGTTTGAAAAAAATTGATTCGTTAGGATTGGCTGGGTTTTAAAATTACATAATTTCGCATGTAATAAAATTGTCGCTCCCTAACATCATTTCGTTATTATTAAAACTTTCACTAGGCAATTTTTAAAATCATATTGTCTTAACTTTAACATGAATATTTTTTTCGCAATTACCTAGCCATTGTCTATTTTTAATTATGATGATTTGCTCCAATTTTTCCCTGTTTAATTACTAGCAACGACCAATTTCCCAAGAATTTTAATTATAAACTTTATGACAACGCAGTTGATTTATAGCAAAGACATTTATTTGTCCTTGTTTGAGCTGCATATTTAAAAGAAAATGTTTGTCCACCAAATGATGTCGTTAATAAAATTCGCCTTGGCTTTAACATAAATTAACATTGCGATTTAGAATATTTTTGCCATTTTATGCGACTACTATCTCCATAAAGATCGTATCTTACAGTTAGCTCATATAGTAACAAAGATATTGCCACGCTGACAATTTTATCCAACAAGGTAACTATGTATTACGAATTTCCGCATAAAAATCACACAAGTCTGTTTTCTCTAAAAGTCACACAGTGTGTGAATAAATAAATTGAATTAACGTTTTGCTACAATTTTATTTTTTGTGGTTTTAATTGTATATATCTTTTTAAATAATAATTTTAAAGATTCCACTTATATAAGACCTTTTTTGGAGAAGACTAAATTTCCCACAAAAATATTCTTTACTTTTTTACCGTTGGCAGCAAAACACATCAATTTTGCATGAAAGTCGTCTTTCAAGGCACGGGCTATATGTAATAAAATTAATTACCATGTATGGAAAAAACTATAACAGATAAATAGTTGCTAAACATTTACAAAATTCACTTTCCTTTTTGCAGAAGGCAGGTAAGCAAATTAATTGCCATCATTTTATGGTTTCCTTACCCGAAGCATGAAACACTTGCAGATACGTTATTTCCAGTAATTTAAACCTTTTTCTGTTTGTTCACTTATTGTCTCGCATATCTCTGACATAAATCTTGTTGTGTTAGAGCAAAGTTAAGTTGCAACATTTTCGGAAAGTGTTAATATACGATGACAATCTTCCTTTTCAAGGAAACATGCAGTGGCACAATAACTTTAAATTATGCCTTTTTAATTTGTGTATAACTTTTTTAATAATGACAATATAATTCATTAATATTAGAACCAATAAAATGCCAGTATTCCATAGTGACGTATTTTATCACAGCGGCAATATTTTTTATCATCTTGTTTACACGTTACTATGAATTTTGACGTTTTTTTGATTTGACATTTGTTGTCATTTCAATTCTGTTTTTGATATATATCAATAAAATAATGAATTATAAACTCTAAAAGATCGATGGGTTGGTGTAAACGATAATGAAATTAAGGTAAGTTTGAATAAATAAGGTTTATTAAAGTCTTTTTATATTTTAAAGCACATTTTAATTTCAAATGTCAAACTAAAAATTCGTTAAATCCTAAAATTCATTATATTTTCTCACTAAATATAACTCGTGGTATGATTAATTATCGATGATATTTACTCATTAAAACCGAAGCAGCACATTTCACTCGTCCTGCGGACTCGTGAAATCTGCAGCTCGGTTTCAATTCGAAAATATCATCGATGATAATCATACCACTTGTTATACGAGCCCTAACCACATAATGTTCGGACACTTCATAATTTATACAGAAATTTTTTTCGTGAATACTATCTCAAAATTATTAGAAGTTATGAAAAATTCAGCTTATTTTGGCATATACCCCTCGAAGCGATTTTTATTTTTAAAAAGTTTACCTTTTATTTTTAGCTTTTAAAAAAAGGCTAACTTTTTAACTTTTTTTTGCATGAGTAAAAAAAGTTATAAATGGGCCCATTAAAAAGAACATAAAATATTATACAAACCCTGAAAATTTGGTAAAAATTGTATAAATAATAAGAAAGTTATAGCGATATATATATCTGCAAAATCTCCCGTTTCCTAAGAAAATTGCAAAAACTCTTTAAAAATAGCATTTTTAAATTACTTATACTTTTTTATAACTTATTTATTTTTTACCAAATTTTCAGGGTTTGTATAATATTTTATGCTCTTTTTAATGGGTCCATTTATAACTTTTTTTACTCATACAAAAAAAAGTTAAAAAGTTAGCCTTTTTTTAAAAGCTAAAAATAAAAGGTAAACTTTTTAAAAATAAAAATCGCTTCGAGGGGTATATGCCAAAATAAGCTGAATTTTTCATAACTTCTAATAATTTTGAGATAGTATTCACGAAAAAAAATTCTGTATAAATTATGAAGTGTCCGAACATTATGGGGTTAGGGCTCGTATTATGGGTGATAATACAATTAAATTTCCAAAAATAATTAAATGTAGGTACTCATAGAGAAAGAAACTCTCCACAGAGAAAAATCCGTTTGAAAAACATTGCACAAAGTGCAACATGCTATTGGAGCATAATTTTCTATAAATCCAAGATATATAGGTAGTTGGATTGGTTTGTTTAATTAGTTTGTTTAATTATCTGTTGTTAAAAATATTTCCAAACTAAATTTTACTCTTTTGTACATTTTTTTTAATATTTTGTATAAATATAGTGTAACTTTGAGTTAGAATATAAATTTTACAATATTGGACAATTTGTTCGGGAGTAAAGCATTACACCACCTAAGGTAACCAATGAAATGATTTCCCGATTAAAATAAGACGCCGGCCGGTCGCTCAACTGCAATCTGCATCATCAGTTTGCAGTTTTAGTTAGTGTTAGGATTAGGAAGTGTATCATTGTGAGGTTAGTACCACATTTCTGGTGAGTAATTATTGAATATTATTTTTCCGAATAGGTCTGGTGATCAAATGAGGATAAAAAGTGTTTTTATGTTCCTACTGTGCTACATTATTGATCTGCTAACTACACTCTTAGAAAAGACCTGGTATTTGCAATGAAAATTTAGTTCCCAGAACCAATTTTATTAGTGAAAATAGGCACAACAAAAAAATATGTTGTGGGAACTAATACAAATTTGTTTTTACAGTTTGTTGTCGGAACAGCCAATATTGGTAGCTCCAACCAACAAGTTTAAGTGCATCGAAATTAGTTTTTTTTTTCATACAAATAATTGATATTTAATGCAATCACATTAGTCTGTCATTTTAGCAGCGTCTAAGTTGTAACAACTGCACTTGCTATTTATCGCAACAAACATTGTATCATGCAGTAATTTATTTTTTAATTGAAATTACATGAAAAACAGTACATTTAAAGAATTTAATAGTTGATATAATATAAATTTGTTTTGTACTGTAACTAAGTTATATTTAATATTAAATGCTTGCATTAGTAGCAACAACAAATTGGTATTATTCCACAGTACATACCTGCTTAGTAAATATAACACTTTTTGTGTAAATATTATAAAAAATAGAGAAAGGAAATTCATGCCCGTTCGTTTTATAAATATTTATTATAAATTAAAAAATAACAATATAACTGAAAACACCAAATTTTGGTTTAAACATTATAACAAAAATTAATAATTACTCTAAGAAAACATTTATAAATATTTTAACAATAAAACAAAAACGATTCTTTGGTAAATATACACAGATAGGTACATTATGATGAAGGTTGACTATTCTTCTTCAGTAAACCGTGATGTTTACGTGAAGTGCAAGCCTTTGTTTAACAACTTAACAATGATTCTTAGGTACAACGTAACATACTTGCATGATAACAGGGGTAAGCATTCGATAAATTTTGAGTGTGAGTGCCTATAGTATAGGCCCTATACCAAAAATGCGACTTGAGCTGTAACAAAACAAAACAAA